CATATCCATTCACGAGAAGTGGCGTGAGAGGGAGTTGAAGACAACAACCTTTGCGTTAGTGCGTCCCACGAAACACCCCCGCGGCGGGGGCCAAAAATCGGCAGAACAAAATGCGCTCGGTGGGCATTGCTAGAATTACCAACTAGGACTGTGTATTTGTGTCAAAAGTCCAAAGACTGCACTCTCATTAGATCTACCCAATGGCAGTGTCTAAGTTAAGTACTTGTGATGATGATGTACACAGTAACTGACAACTCAGGGTCTTTCCACCATCACTACAGCATCATCATTACTTCCACCCCCATTTGTCTTTCCACATGTTTAATTTCATTTTGTTGTGTGGTGGGCCTATAGTTTTTCTGTGATGAAAAAAAAAAATCACATCCCACAAAACCAACAGCCGTGGCCTCTTCCCAACACCTCTTTGCCCCCGACAAGGTCAACTCAACTTGGTTGTTCTGTTCATTCAAATGATGCAGGAGGGCCAGTTTAGTTAGATCTAGTAACTGGATATATATTAAAGCTCTTGATTGTTATCATTATAATCGAAAAAATATTCATAAATGCTTGCAATATTCAGGAACAAGGGTCGGAAGTCGGAACGGACGTAGTGCTGGACTCAATTCAGAGTCCAAATATAATTTTTGTCTATTCGGACTCACTTCGTTCATCAATAATAGGCTAACTCTTAACGACAAGTCACAAACGTGTTTGTTTTCAAGTCAAGGCAATTTAATCACAAGAAGCTACAGCAAGCACCTAGCATACCTCTGTGATTGGCCCAAATATATATGGAGTATTTCCGCCACCTACTTTTGTCATCTTTCGGGGCTTCCCTTGCTAGTTGACTAGATCTCACCGTGGCGGGCCCGCTTTGCCGCTTAGCACGTGATGGATTACGTCACTAGGTTTCATCGCCGATTGCTTGGGCTGTGTGCGCGCGTGCATGTGTGTGTGTGTGTACGCGCGCATGTGTGTGTGTGTATTACTTTGAGGAGAAGGTAAATTTATGGAACGAGAATTGCCGAGATTGTTTTAAAAAAAAAAAAAAGATGATAACACAAATTAATACCAAAAAACCCCCCCACAAAAAAACCCCACATGGGATCTAGATCTAGTCAGCTGGGAGGGAAACCCCAGAAGACGACAAAAACAGATGGCGGAAATGCATCATGATCTATATTTGGGCCAATCACAGGTGTGCTAGGTGCTCGCTGTAGCTTTATGTAATTCAAGTGATAGGTTTGGGCAGTTAGTCTATTTGGGATTCCATGTATTTTAAGTGTGCACTGGAGCATCAGAAACCGAACTGAACCTATCCTCCAATAAATGCTGGGCTCCGGGTATAATCTAGTAAGATCTTCAGTCTTCAAGTTGTCACCTCCGAACTATTTTGTCCGAAGTAAGGAGGCACTTTTACTTTGATTTGGACGAAATAGTTCTGAGGCGACAAAGTGTCTAGTAGCTTCTATAGCTTCTTTCACCGTTTGCTCTTTTTAAACTAACGACAACTTACAAGAAAACAATACTGTAAAGTATTGCAGGAGATCTAGCAGAAAATGTCAATCTGGATGCAAGATATAATTATAATAATAATGTCCTTATCTTTTGACTTTAACCCTCTTCTAACAAAACATGGTCACATTGGAACTTGCGGCTGCAGCAGTCTCACAAAATAGTTCAGAATGAATACTGAATAGACTGTCAATGCACCGCCCACTCCACAGCCTTGAAGAGGCTTTGTTGTTATGAATATGCAGTGACTATGTTCACGGTGTCGTGAATCATCCACCATTGATTGGCACAGAGGCACAACTGAAACGCTATGGTCGCTTCAGTTAGAGTGAATAAGGAAACAGCACAGGAATACTGTCGTAAGCTGACGAAACGCCTTATTTTTCTTCACCGCAGTTTTCGAGAACAAGTTTTTTTTTGGTCATCGTCAGCGTTACCATTGAAAAATAGAGTCATTCCAAAATTGTGAATTCTAATTTATTAAAATACTAATCAGTTTCACTTTGATTTTTTCACACAGATAGGGTAACAGATCAGACTTTCGATTTAGCAAATAAAAAATATTTTGCGCCAAAGGAAAAATTTGCAAAGGCGTTTTGTCAGCTTACGGCAGAATACTTGCGTGAAAAATAATGTGCAGTGGTCCGAATGCAACGCTCAACATTTTATAATAAAAGTCGTTACAAGGGAGAATGGAAGAATGTCAAGGTGGGAAGAGGGGTGGGAGTGGGTGGAAAAAAGAAGCAAAGGGAAAAGGGTAGGTAGGGGGTGAAGTGAGCAAGATCATTCTTAAATTGCAAACTACATTCACGGCACTGTGAATGTAACCCGCAAACTACATCCAGGGCGCCGTGAACATAGCCTGCAAACTACATTCAGGGCGCCGTGAACGTAGTCACTGCGCCGTGAATATGTGTCGACGTGGAGATAACTCCAGACTATTATTTCATTAATTATTATTTCCTTAATATTGAATCGTCTCTTTTACTTTTCACAGAAGGGAAAGCAACCTTTCCCTTTCTTCTACTCCTTCTTTGACTTTGCCTCTGTTACTTTTTTGCAGAGTCTTTAGTCTTTATTTTTTAGGCATGGAGTTCGTTGTTCCTCATAATGATATTTATTATTTTGTCATTTCAAACTTTTGCAAGTGGGTGGTTGGCGGGTGCTCTGGTGTGGTTTGCTTCTTCTGTCCTATCAAACATCTATCATCCTTATCTTCCGTTCTTCTTTTTTATGCTTGTTACTTTCTTGTAACACCTCAAATCTTCTGGCGCTCATATGACCTTATGCAGTTGCGAGCGCCATAAAACCTCTACTGAAACTAAAAAGTTGTACAACTCTACTGTACCTATGGATATGGAGATGGATCAGATGATAATAACATTGGCAGCAACTCAGATCACACCTGTGTAAGGAGGATGGACATTAATATAGTAGTAGTGATAATGAGTCCATTGACATGGTTTGCCTCTTGGTGAACAAGATTAAAGGTCATGTAAACTGTATAAGTCCAAATTCTCAGGCTAGATGGGCCTAGTTACAGACTAACGCCCTGCTCTACCTCTTTGGGTCTGCCTTCCACTTCAAGAATGACTTGTAGTGATCTTCCTAGTCAACAAGTTCAACCATGTCTATCAATAGATCTATATTTACCACTAAGTAGTGATGTAGTGAAAATACCATGAACAGTAAGAATTGTAACTGGCTGACATATGTGCTCGGCCGGCAGTGCAAAAACGTGTTGGACTCATCGCAGTCAAAGGTAACCCCAGGAACATGCTAATTTACAGCACTGTTGTTGTTGTTTTGTTTTTGTGTCAGCCCAATTTATCGCACCTCAATACATGCGAGAGAAATTGGGGCATTTACTGAAGAAAAAAATTTCCGATCTTTTCAGAGACAGTCGAGTTTTTATCGAAGAAAGAAGATAAAGATAGAGTATTCCTGAGGCATTATGTAGAGCAGTGTGTGCAGGTTATAGTTAGGTTTGGATCTGTGAACTCTTTGTTTGTGTTTTTGTGCAGGCTGAAGTAAAGCAAACAAACAAAAAAAAGAAGATCCTGGAGAATGGCCCCATGTAGAGTCTCGGCCTACCTAAGGGCCCTGCACAGAGCACCTTCCATATCTGCGGGAACAGGAAGAGGCGGCGCTGTCGGACTCAGCTGGTCACATCGCAGGTACAAGCGTCATGTAAGTCCCCTGCAGCTGCTTTGTTTTCTAAAGGGTCTCTCCTGCCAGTTGCACCAGGTCACTGAACTGCACTGAGTTCTGGTTGCTGCTGTTTGTTTGTCTGCCCTTGTGCTTTGTGATAATTCTGCATTGTACAGTACAGAGCTTTCAGAGCCTTCTAAGGATTAGCAGTGCTACAAATTTCCATGATCATAAGTATTATTGTTATAATTATGATAATTATTATTTTTATTGTTATTATTTTTTATATTATTATTATTATTATTATTATTATTATTATTATCATCATCATCAGCTGGCCAATGTGTTCTGATTTATGTGTATTTTTCTTCACAAATGGTCTTTATGTTCTGATTACTATGTGTGTGTCTTTCCAGCTGGCCTCTGCGTTCCGACTGCTGTGCATTATATACAATTGTGTTCTTAGCTGACCACTGGGTTCTGATTGCTGTTGTTTTGTCTTTGTTGCTACCTACTCATTCACCTATCCTGTCGTCACCATTGGGGCACCACTGCAGGTTTTACAACCCGCTTCTACCACTCCTGTGGGTGGTTGGCGGGTGCTCTGGTTCGGTTTGCTCCTTCTTTCCTATCAGATCTATCATCCTTATCTCTTAGTGTAGTAGGTCATCACAATGTTACATTATCATGTGTCGTGGTGTGTGATATGTCGTTATTTCATGTTTGTTACAGATACGCTAATGTGTTGTTGGTGGGTGGTTGGCGGGTGCTCTGGTGTGGTTTGCTCTTTCTTTCCTATCAAACATCTATCGTCCTTATCTTTCCCTTCTTCTTTTTTATGTTTGTTACTCTCTTGTAACGCCTCTAAACTTGTGGCGCTCATATGACCTTATGCAGTTGCGAACGCCGTAAAGCCTCTACTAAAACCAAAAAACCCCCAAAAATCGTTGTGTTGTACCTCTTTGTGAATAAAAGGACAACATGTAACTAGACGATGAGGAGTCATTAAATCTTTAATATCTCTCCTCCTTTTTTGTGTTTGTTGTTCTCTTGTAACACCTCTGATCTTTGGCACTTGTATGACATAATTGTAGTGGGTGCGTGGTGGGTGCTCTGGTTTCGTTTGTTCTTTTTTTCCTATCAAACGTCTAATACCCTTATCTCCTCTTCATCTTTTTTGTGTTTGTTATTCTCTTCTAACACCTAATCGGCACTTAAACGATCTTATCTTGTTGTACGTGCTGTAGAACGCTTACTAAAACTAGACTAAAAGATCTTAATTGAATTGCAAGTGCTGTAAAACTCTTACTAAAAACTAAAGCTACCACTCCTGATGGTTCTCAGCCTTCCAAAGTATAATGCATTGTATGATGCTCCAGTCATGACCATTCCACTCCTCCATGTTGTCTTTTTATTGTTTCTTTTGTCTCTCCCTTTGTCTCCCTCCTTGCGCTGTAGGATAGTCTTGGTCGGTCCAAATGATCATGTGACATGCCTGTACCACTTCATTTTGCTTCTTTGCACTGAAGTAAGGAGGTCCTAATACAGTCAGATGGCATTTCCAGCTTTGGTTTTGAGTACATTATTTATGTTATCTCTATACAAGATGCCAAGGAGTTTATGGAAATACCTCATCTGTATACTTCTTACGATGTCTTTCTGCTGTTTACTATGTTCTAATTGTTGTGTATTTGTTTATTTCAGCTGGCTATCTGTATTCTAGCTGCTTTGTACATTTTTTCAGTTGGCTACTGTGTTCTAATTGCTGTCTTTGTCTTTTCAGTTGGCTACTTTGTTATATGTTTTAATTGCTGTGTATTTGTCTTTTCAGCTGGCGACCAAAGCAGCTGCCACGAAAGCCTCAGTGGACTCGAGTTCTGACGGTGTTGAGGAGATCTCCTCATCTGACGAGTCTGATGCGGGCAAAGGGGCTGAGTATGTGCTGCGTACGGTGGACATTGACAAAGAGGAACTGATCACTCTGCACCTGCGTAGCTCAGGCCAGCTGGTGGAGGTGCGGGCAGAGCGAGTGGCCGGGGATGTGTCTGTGTTCACTCCTCACAACCGGGAATGCTACCACCTGGACCGGCTGGCCTCCAGTAGCGTGAACCCTGTCTACCCGGCGTCAGACGGCGCTCCCGTGACCTTGGCCTCCTTGAACCTGACGCTCAGGGAGCCCCGGCCTGACAGAAGTAACCCGGGTACCAACGTGGAGTCTGTGAAGGATGTGCAGTGGAGATTACAGGAGCTGGAGCTGGGCAAGATGCTGCACTACTACAAAATGTTGTCCAAGATACGACTCACAGGTGAGATAGACAGCAGCTCGTTGCTCACTTTTCATTTGTCAAGGCACGAGCTGTCTATGTTTTGGTGCTGATTTTTGTGATTATAGATTCTGTTTCAAGTGTGTCTTACAGTTTTCAAACTGGTGAGGTTCTTGTTCTTTCATCCCTCTAGTAAAAAGTCTTGAGCAGTTGTCAAACTGGCAAAGTACAGGCTACTGAAGGGTGGGCACCTATCACTTTAGCTTGTGATATCTCTTCTTTGGTTTATGTTGAGTCTGAGCTGTGGAAAAGGTTATTTGATTGGGAAATGGTTGTCTTATCTATTTATTGGTATAAGATTTTGTGACTCTCCTGGGAGTGTGGGCTTTAGAGAAAGTTCTCTGTGACTCCGTGGTACGGTAGTTACAATTTCTGTCCCAGAAGTAGAAGTAAGTTTCCCTATTGTGTTAAGTCGACAGTTTTTATTTTACAGACATGAAATTTTGTGTATACCTACTGAGACATGTTTTCCCGTTCAACGTAATAAATAACTGTTGATTTCAATACACTTTTTCATCCAATGTTGCCAGCGGTCAAACATAGTGACTCTGTTTGCCCCGACCAGAGTCCTTAGCACAGCATTTGTTTTGAACACACTTTCTTCCTCATCTTCAAATACTATCCCCTTAGTCAGTTTTTTATTTTTGGTTTGTATTATGTTCTCAAAGAACGCACGCTTCAGCATACAAAAATGATCTTGAATTAGGATAGAAGTGGGACCGTCAAATGATACCTTCCAACCACTTTCTTCCTCTCAGTCTCATAATGCCCTGATATAGATTCTGATGAACAAGGGGGCGTGGATGATGGAAGATGCCACGTCAGTTCGAATGAAAAAAGCAAAATCTGTCATATATATGGCCATCTCTGTTTTCTCAATCTCTATACATTATATTTGTGAAAGTCTGTCACTTTGGCCGCCTAAAATTTATGAACCACTTAACTTTCGAATTTGACAAAGTTGATGGTGGTTCAGAATCATTTAAAGGGTGCACCCTCCGGGGCAGTGCCACTGACTGTAGTGTCTTTAGGCCGTTCCCAAAGGGGGGACATTTCTCGTTCAAGCATTGTAAAATTGTAAATGGGCTGACTCATGTCACGCTCATATCTGTGCCTGATCTACAACAGGGAACTGCTCCTTTTTCTTTCCTGATCCTTACTATTGTCATTTTTCTCTACTTCTTTTGTATGTTTGTCACTGCCTTGTGACCTGCTATTTTGAGGTGCCTTGGTAGTCGAAGCAGACCTTGTGCTGTTGAAGCTAGAGAGGTGAGCAGAGTCTGATTCCCTGTAAAGACTTCTCTGTTGACACCCACCCCTTGGCGCTCATATGACCTTATGCAGATGCGGGCGCCGTAAAACCCTCTACTATTAAACAAAAAATTTAAAGGGTGCACAGTTTTATTAAGGCACTGTAGTTTAATTTTCAGTTTTTCATTGGTTTCATTAAGATCTATTCTTGGGAAAGTCCATCTTCTAAGACGCCATTTCATTGTAAACAAGTGAGGTTTCCGTTCACTAGCCGTGTGCACTGATTCCTCACCTTTGAAATTCTGGAGTGTACAACCTCGAAAGCGGAATAGAGAATCGATCCATACACCTATCTGGCAACTTGGAAGCGCATGTGTCACTTTTCCCATAAAAATACGACAGCTTCAGAGTTGAAAGTTGGCAAGTACCTGCAAAAAGAGGTTGTTGTTGTTGTTGTTTTCAAATCCCTTTAGCTGCGAGCATTTTGCTTTTGGCAGCGCAATGCCCGCCTTAATAACCACATGTCCTTGTCATCTGGTCAAGGCCAGAGTAGAGTGGGCTTTGTAAGTCTGTAGGTGTGTGTAGGAGCGTGCGTCGAAGAACTGCCAGGTTTGGGCAGTGAAGGAGGTGTTCAACGGTCTCCTCGTGGTAGTCACAGTGTCTGCAATGGGGTTCCCACTTGGGGTTAATTCTGTTTATGTCCTTGTTGGTGTGTATGTGTCCTGTGTGGGCTCTGAAGATCAAAGTCTGATCGGCTCTACATAAGAGATTCGAAGGGTCTTTGGGGTTGGGTTTGTCCATGTACCCGAAGAGAGATCTTCCTGTTTCTGCGCTGGCCCATCTGTTTAGCCACTCGTCTCTGCTTTTGGCTTGGATGATCCCTCTGCAGGTCTGTAAAGAGGCGGCTGTGCCTGTCTGGGGCAGGCTTTCTCCTTTTTTTGGGGGGAGGGGGGGTGTTTGATGTATTTCTTGTGTTAAAAACCAACAAAGATAACATTATGTCTCTCTCTCTCTCATTTCCATCTCTCTTGTTGCCCCACCCCACCCTTCACCACCACCCCCCCCCCCCCCCCCCAACCTTCTGCTCCCTACAACTTGTGTGGATTACGCTCCCTTCTGGCTTTGACGAGCAGGGCTTGTTGTTCTGACCACCATGGCGGGATACGGCATGGCCCCAGGCCCCTTCGACCTGACCACGTTTGCAGTGTGCACAGTGGGGACGGGTCTCACTTCTTGCGCTGCTAATTCCATCAATCAGGTCAGTCAGGCTTGAGTTCATTACGCACAGAAGAGATGCAGCTCATGGCGTGTGGAGAATTTTTGTATTTGTGAGTTTTATTGCTTTGCGCTTTCAGATTTTAGGTTGGCTGACACCTACAGCACCCACTGTGTGCTCATTATTGTTTTCATTATTTGTAGGTTATTATTAATGTTTCTTAGTTGTAGTACAGTGATCTCCACTTAACACTGAACAACAAACCTAAGCTTGTGTAACGGAATTTTCCTGTATAAGTAACCCCGCCCCCTAACAGCAACCTTCATTGCCATAAATGTGTCCCCTGACTCGGTGGAATCGAGCGCTCGTCAATTTTGGGGCTTGTGGGGAACTATTGGTATCATCTTTTAGCTTGTTTAAAATACCATAGATTTATCTTGAATAGAAACTGACATCAATATCGACTGAAGGGGGCAGGGGTAACCTGGTTTCTGCTGTAAAATTAGGGAGAAAATGACTGCCAAAGTTTGGCAACTTCTGATGCTTGGGCGTCTTTGAAAACTGCATATTTACAATTGTTGTACCGTTGATTAAAATTTTTCAGTAAAATCTACACAGAAGTGTTTTTTTATGAATTGACATAAAGGGTGTAGAGCCGAAATAAGAAAAAAATTGCCCAAAGGCTAGGAAAATGCCGGTTTCTTTGATTTTATTATTTTGACGAGCGCCTGATTTCACCAAGATGCCTCCCAAGCGTAGTAAAACACCAACACAAAAACAAAGGCAAGAGTGGGAAAGTGATAGGGATTCCAGTGGAAGGGGCAGGTAACATTTTAAAAATTTCTTCTCCATGTACTTGCCTCTGTGCAGGTTCCCACGGCTGGTTGGTGGGCGTTCTTGTGTGGTTTGCTCCTTCTTTCCTATCAAACTTCTGCTGTCCTTATCTCTCTTCCTTCTTCTTTTCTTTGTATGTTACTCTTTAATAATGCCTTTAACTGCAGCACTTATTTGACGTAATTGTGTTACAGGTGCTGTAAAACTCTTAATGTGGGTGGTTGGCAGGTGCTCTGGTGTGGTTTTGCTTCTTCTTTCCTATCAAACATCTATCGTCCTTATCTCCCCTTCTTCTTTTTTATATTTGTTACTCTCTTGTAACACCTCTGATCTTCTGGCGCTCATATGACCTTATGCTGTTGCGAGCGCCGTAAAACCTCTGCTAAAACTAAAACTCCTACTAATACTAAACTAAGCAGGTTCCATTTGTTTGGTGTTTGTATTTGATGCCCCTTGTTTTTTCTTTGATTTCAGTTCAATACCTTTAACTACATCTGCAGTTCCCACACTTTTTTGAAAACTTCATTTTAATGGTACAGTATTCTCCGCCTAAATGCGCGGTGCTCGGGAGGGCTCTTCAGCGTGTGTTCATACGGTACGGAGCGTGCGTTTACATAAACCTGTGCAAAGGGAGGAAGGGACGCAGCCATCTCAATTCCTTGATATTCTAGTGACCTCCTTTTGGCCTATAATGTGACGATATGTGACTGTTTTGTGAAGGTTAAGAATACAAAGTTTTTGAAGGGGGGGCGGGCGCAGAAAGACAGACTCAATGTAATGATATCCATCATAAAATGTCAGGAACAGATAGCCTAAGAGGAAACAGTTGGTGATAGTCATAGAGACAATAGCCCAACCGTGTGGCTTTCTAAACGACCACCCCGGACCGTAAATTCATGGACGACATCAGAATCATAGATCTTTACTTTCGGAGAAACATTTCTCTTGTGATTCGTTGAACAATTACGTTAGAAGTTCTTCGAGGGAAGCTAATTAGGCTTACTTAACTAATCTTTAATCCTATAGAGGCCTATCTTAGTGTTTTACAGCATGTTGCACATCATAGTCCTAGGTCTAACTATACTTTGCCTGCGGTCACCCAAACACTAGTCAAATACCTTCTCTCATCTCTCAAAGATGCAGTTCCAGTGAGCAATGAAAAAACATTTCAGTCCCCCAAACCCCCAACATTACACCGACCAGTCCTAGACCTAAGTACTGTCTGTGGAAAGTTGGGTGTGAAAACGCTGTCCATCACTCTCTTTGTTTGGCGTGGGGGGGGGGCAGTCTTACCAAATATCCGGTTTCCTTGGCATGTTGTGTTATGCAAGCTGTGCAGGTTGTAGTGAAAATTTCCCTTTGCCAAGTTGGCATGTTTCGCAGATCGGACCGTGCATCTGTACGTATAAATTATATAGTAAAACACCAATCATATGATGAAAGCATGCAATTGAGCAGAGCGTGCTTTTGTAAGGCGTGCTTTTAGACGGAGACTACTGTACCCTGATTTTAAGAATATTTTGTAAACAATTTTGTTGTTTCAGTTTTTCGAGGTGCCGTATGACTCTCAGATGAACCGCACCAAGAACAGGGTCCTGGTGAAGGGACTGATCAGGTCTGAGCTTTATAGCCTTTTCTGTTATTTTTTGTTACTCCTCAAATTTTCTACCCTTATAATGACCTAATTGTATTACAAGTGCTGTAGAGCGTTAACTAAATCACTTTGTGCTTCTGTGTCTTGTCTCACTCACCATGTCCCTCTGTATGTGTCTGCCTCACTCTTTGTTTCTGTATCTGCCATATTAACTCCTCTGTGTCAACTTCTGTCATACTATTTATGTCAGTGTGTGTCTCACTATAGTGGGTGGTCTGGTGTGGTTTGCTTCTGCTTTCCTATCAAATATCTATGGTCCTGATCTCTCCTCCTTTTTTATGTTCGTTTTACTCTTGGAACACCTCTAAACTTCGGCACTTATATAGTCTTATATAGTCTAATTGTGTTGCAGGTGCAGAAAAACGCTTGCTCAATCACTTTGACTTTGTGTTTCTGTATCTTGTCTTACTCACCATGTCTGTCTCTTTACTATGTGTCTGCCTCACTCTTTGTTTCTCTATCTGCCACACTAACTGTGTCAACTTCTCTGCAGTAAAGTGACAAAGCACGTTTTTTCATTTTTGGCCCTTAATTTATTTATTTGCTAAATCAAAAGCCTGATCAGTAAACCTAATTGTGTGAAAAAATCAAAATGAACTGTGACCACTTTTTGAATAAATCAGAATTCAAATTTTGGAAGAACGCCTTTTTAAAATGGTTACGCTGACAAAAAACCTCATTATCTCGAAACTGCTGTGAATATTTTTTTTAAAGCCGTGTTGTTTTTTTTCAGTGTGTGTGCGGCAGTTCTGTCATACTAATCTTGTCAGTGTGCATCCAACTCACTGTGTCTGTCTCTCTCTGTGTCTGTCCCCACCAGGGCAGTGCTACTGACTGAAGTTGTCTTTAGGCCGTTCCCAAAGGGGGGATATTAACATGTTCGTATTCACAGTGGAATTGTAAATGGGCTGACTTATCAATGTCATGCTCATACTGTGCCGAAATAACATGGGGGGAATTGCTGCTTTTTCTTTCCTCATCCTTACAAAGTCATTTTTTCTCTACTTCTTTTGTATGTTAGTCACTCTCTTGTGAACTGCTATTTACGGGGTGCCTTGATAGTCGAAGCAGACTTTGTGCTGTTGAGGCTAGAGAGTTGAGCAGAGAAAGCCTTATTCCCCACTTGGATTTCTTTGATGACATCCACCCCTTGGCGCTCATATGAACTTATGCAGTTGCGAGCGCCGTAAAACTTTACTAAAACTAAAACTAAACCACCCCCTTGGCGCTCATATGACCTCATGCAGTTGCGAGCTCCGTAAACTTTACCTGTCCCCGTGGTTTTATGCACCCTGCATAATTTAGCAAAATCTGATCATTTTTTGCATAATTTCTGATTATTTTCCTTTATCATTCTTTTTTAAAAAAAAACCAGAATCGCATAATTTTACATTTTTGGGCTCAGTTTGCATAATTTCAGAATTTTTATTGCATAAAACGACGGGGACGGCTTTTCTAAAACTAATACCAAACCACTCTTTGGCGTCCATATGTCCTTATGCAGTTACGAGCGCTGTAAAACCTAACTAAAACTTTAACCCTATCCGTATGCCCTGGGGTCATTTTGTACCCCCAGGGTTGTATTCTTCACATTTTAGAATACTTCTAGTTTGAAAATATCTTTGAAACTTAAAGTATTTAAAAAAAAAATCATTTTGACAGACTGCTATGCAAAGCGTACGGATCGGATTAACTAGCAAAGTTCCCCTTTGAAAGTGGTGGCACTGAGTTCCCCACGTTGTATGAATTTTTACTCTTACGTTTTCATCCCCCGTTGCTGTTAAGCATCCGGGGAGATGCAGTTTTCTATGGTAGGCCAGCTCCGCAGCTCTTTCAGTTGTGATGTTATGTTTTCTTCTAGGGTTTCCTTGACACCCTCGATCCACTTTTTGCATGGCCTTCCTCTTCCTTTATAGCCTGAGTGCTTGGTGTTGTAGGCTCTCGAGGTTGGCATGCATAACAGGTGGCCAAACCATTTTATCCTTTGTCTTTCTATGTAACGTAGGCAGGACTCAGTGCCGATAGCTGCTCTTACCTCTTCATTTCCCTGCCTGTCTCGACTTGTGATGTTAAGACATTTATTTCATTTCACATGTTGTGATTTTGCTTTCATGGGTTTTGCTTAAAGTCCAGGTCTGGCACTGATAGCATAATGTTAGTATGAATATTGAGGTGATAAGCTGTCTCTTTGTGTCCATGGAGATGTTTGGATGAGAAGGGAGGGGCGTGAGTTTGTAGGTGACAGCGTTGGCTTTTTGAGTTCGCATTTCTATTTCTCTGTCTATGGACCAGTTTTCAGAAAAAGTGCTGCATAGATATTTTAACTCCTTCACCTGTTTCAGTTGTTTACTATTGACATGGATGTTCAGGGGACTATGGTTTCAGCTCACTTTCATAACTTCTGTTTTGTATGGATACGATAGTAAAACACGGTGTACGGATAAGGTTAAACTAAACTCTGTGTGTCTCTGTCCCCAGCCCCCTGCACGCTGTCACCTTTGCCGGTGTGGCGGGCGCGTCGGGCCTGGCTCTGCTGTCTCTGGGCGTCAACGGCACAGTGGCGGCCCTGGGAGCCTTCAACCTGGCCCTGTATACGCTGGCCTACACCCCGCTCAAGCGGCTCAGTGTGGCCAACACGTGGCTCGGGGCTGTCGTCGGGGCCGTGCCGCCCATGATGGGCTGGGCGGCCTGCACTGGCTCTCTGGATCCTGGTCAGACATAGCTTTGTTGTCATGTTTGTGTGTGTGTGTGTAATAATCCCTCCCCCTCCCCCCTTTTATCTTTCTCTTCCACCCCCACTCTCTCTCTCTCTCTCTCTCTTTTTCTCTTTCCTCCCCTCTCTCTCTCTCTCTCTCTCTCTGTCTCTCTTCCTCTCTGTCTCTTCCTCTCTCTCTTCCTCTTCCTCTCTCTTTCTCTTGCTCTGTCTCTCTCAACCCTGCTGACTCTATGAGTTAAGGAGGAGATATATGTAAAAGGGTCCCTGAGCAAAAATTGTTATGTGCCCTAATCTTCCTTACCCTTTCTTTGGTCGGGAAGTTCATGAGAGGTTTGTCTACCGGTAGAAAAATTTCTCTAAATCTAAACTCATTGTGGTTACCCTTCAAATAACTTTCAGTGAGATTCCAGGTCTTCTTGTGAGCCAATACTTTTACTCAGAATACTTAATGGGTGGTTGAAGAGTCCCACTTACGGGCAGGTCTGCTTCCCTCTGTTGTTTCGGTCTATCTTACTATTTCCTTTCACTAAATGACCCATTATTGCGTCAATATGCCTCTCTTTGCTCAAACATCGAACAATCCTTAATATCGATTTATAAACTATCTCAAATTCAATCTCTCTTTCACCCCTTCTCTCTTCTCCGCTGTCTATCTGCAGGTGCTTGGTTGATGGGCGCCCTCCTGTTCTCCTGGCAGTTCCCCCACTTCAATGCTCTGAGCTGGAACCTACGTCCAGATTACTCACGGGCCGGCTACCGCATGATGTCCGTGGTGGATCCGGCCCTATGTCGGCGGGTGGCCCTGCGCCACTGCGTCTCCGTCGCGGGCCTGAGCCTGATGGCCGCCCCGCTGGGCGTGACCACCTGGACGTTCACTGTGGACTCGCTGCCGCTCAACGCATTCCTGGTGTACTTAGGCTGGAGATTTTACCGCGACGGAGATAGCAACTCCTCCCGCCGGCTTTTCCGCTTCTCCCTGATTCACATACCAGCTCTCCTGCTGCTCATGATCATCAGCAAAGCCAGCTTTGGCAGCCACCAGAAACACAAGGGGGAGGTAGTGCCCGCCAAGGACAGTTCCCACCAGGTCTCTTCTCTCAGCTGATGGCTTCGGGTGAACTCTTCCTCCAATGCATCTCTGAGACACTACTGGACAGGGGTTGTGGTCATCTCAGCCAGACTTTTGTGTTGAGCAGGGCCGACCACTTTGCTAGTGAAACCTTTCAGTAGACAAGTACAGATGCCAGTGGCTGTGGTCAGGACTTTGTTAGACTGACATGCGAGTCGGACTTTGGACTTGTTACTTCAGGGATTTTTTTTTTAAATTTCAAATTTAGCTTTTGATCCGACATGCTCCTTTGTGATCAGGGATGAAGGAAGACTTTTGGGTCGGAAGTATACAACGGTAGTCAAGATTGGGACATGTGTGAGGTGTGACATGTTTTTTCAACGTATGGGGAAGACAGTTTTTTGCTCGAACACTCTTGTTCATGATCTAGGGTGGACCAAGTTTTTGGTTGGACATGTTCATTCATGAAAGACCCTACAGAACCTGGGCAAGTCTGCCCCTTAAATGACCTAAAAAATCTGGGTCTTTTTTGGAGGTGTTCAGGAATATAGGGGTGTTGATGTGTTTCTTCTAAGCATAGGATTTAGAAATTGTCTCATAAAAGAATGCATTTCCTGAAAGGGTAGTAAAATGTTTTAGAAAATACTATGCTCAAGTAGCTCGGGAATGGCATATATATATATATTTTTTAGTTTTACCATCTATGGTTAGTTACAGATTTTCTAGTATAATAGATTTTTTAAAATTGTAATTTTTAGTTTTCTTTTCACATAATGCATGCGAGTCGCATGGTTCACGCTAATTATCCTCCGCTTATCAACAATACGATGTACGATGCCTAGCGATTGGCCCATGCAATTCACTGGTGTGTACGATACTCAAATTTCACTGCGTTTCCGTCATTGCAAAACTGCCAAAGACTGCAGTGTTATTGTGGGGCCTATTTTAGCATGATGAGCGCCATTTCACGTGCATGAGCCCTCATGCACTTATGAAAGCGTTCGTCCTGAAGGAACTGACAAAATTGGACTTTCTCAGAAAAAAAGAAATTGATTTGAAAGTCAAGAACAAATTAAGATTTGTGTGGTAAGAGGAGAGTTTTACCGTAAAATCAATTTTCAAAGAAAGGTGACAAGGTTACTAATTGTGTTGGTGATTCTATTGTTAAAGTAGAAGTTCCTCTAATACCACCACATCCAAGCCCATTAACAAGCTGTTTTCCCTGTCCTCAAAGGACTGTCAATTGTTAATTACAAGATTTCTTTTGAAACTGAAATTGATGTTAATAATTTTTATGTGTGAGGTAGGGTCTCATGGTTTTATTTCACGGGTTCGGTGCTTCTGTCGGTGTATTTTCCCCCTTTTTGACTTTTGCTCGTTATGATCACTGAATGTAGGCAAGATGAACTACAGTAAAACCTCAGTATAACATACTTTCATCAAGTTTTTGAATGTGTTAGCCAAGGTGTGCACTGGCCAAAAAACTGACGGGGAACAGGGATGGCGCTGATATGACCTTATGCGAGCGCCGTAAAACTCTCTACTGTAAAAAAAGGGTGGGGGGGGGGGGGGAACAGGGAGGCTACAGAGCTACATCCCACTCAATATCACCAGCTCCATGGTGAAAATCTGTTTCAGTACCACGCGAAGGGAAATTGCTCCTTTTCTTTTTCACATAATGTGGTTTCTTAAAGAAATGACAGAAAATGGTTCAGAAGACCCATTCTAAAAATAATTAAGCATTACGCGTACAGAAATGAATTAAGTTTAACATCAGATTATAACGATATTTGTTAATGTACTTACTTAAATAGCTTTTACAGTCGTGCAAACGCTCTTTTTTTTCTCTCAGAGTTTGCCAGAACTGAATTGTCACTGTCCTTCACCAAAAGCAGCCACAAATAAACAGATAATAACAGTTGTTTATAACTGAGTGGAGGTGGAGCATGGCACCCATGGATAATTTATGGTTAAAAAGCATTCATTCTATCTGCAGTCAAACCTTATTGTACCGCCCCCGGTATACCACCAGCCCCGTTTACCGCCAGCCCCGTTATACCACCAGCCCCGTTTACCACCAGCAAGGATAAAAAAACCCAAAATGAAATATGTGTCAAACGAGGGAGACTGAGAGCCATGGTAAAACAAAGAAATGGGATCCCACCACTCAACGAATAGCGACACTTCTGTTGACGTCCATTGTTATGGACTGGGTAAATAGTAACACAGCCACTGTTCATTTCTCTTGTGAGTTGTGGGCAGGCTTATAGGTTATGACCTAGGCTTTCTTAGCTCTAAGAAAGCCTTGGTAATGATAGATCTCATACCTCCCCCACCAGCAGCTGAAAGTTTGTTAAACAGTGGGAGAGATCTACAAAACATGATCGATTCACTCGTTGGCGTGACTAACAATAACGACAGGTTAATGGAACATGGCGGCTGGTTCACAGCATCAGGGGCCGATGTAAATAATAACTCGGATATATAATTTATGACAAAGCGCCAGGCAGTGAGAAATTTGCGTGGCCATCTTAGATAGGTTTTTGGGTTGTTGGTTGATAAAATACAGTATAGCAGCTGCGGTTGCTTTGGACAGGTATCGATTTATGCATGCTGTTATATTGAAAAAGTAAGGAGGGGGGGGGGGGATTCAGAGGGAAAGTGAACGTTTGTACAGGCAGATGTATTCTTATTATACAGGTGACCACCAGGTTTGACTGTACTTTTGCTTTGATTAATTTGATGTTATGTTTATTTGCAATTGCTATCCATGTCACGCATGAAGAAATAATTAACAAGGAGGTGGGGATGGAGATCACGATTGTGATGATGTTGATCAATCGGAATGCCGACCTCCTTGCACAACGTGTTATTTTTGTCATTTGTCTCTACTCTCACAATGTAGGCTACTTGTTTAGAAACAGACTTTTGATCTTTGAAACCCCTAGAAAACTGAACTTTATGGCAAAAAGGTACATTTTGAGCAGGTACTTTTAAGACATAGCTTCTATAGCCTAAAATTACTCCGTGGGACTGTGGACTTCAGAAAGTGAAGGTCACAGCTGAAAGGCGAGTATGTTATATCAAGAATATATGGTAGCCTTTTCTCAAAACTTATTGCAACGCATTGCATTTCCAAGGTCTCCATCACATATCAGCCAGATTCATTTTTCATGTTAGAGGTAGTAGCCTTTTTATGAAAGTAATCCTAGATTTAGGCTCAGACCTTTGTTGATAGTTAGTCAACTCTGCATGTGTTGAATTCGCTTGAGTTGATCTTCCAGCCCCAGCCATTTTTGTTCTCTCCCTGACCCTAGTCCCAGCCTATACAGCAGTATTTCAGAAAAAGAGGCATGCATTCTAAAAAGTGATGTAGTATCTTTGTAATGAGGTTTAGATATTAACATTTAACAATGTTTTAAAGGTAAATGAAAAAATATTATGAAAATTAAAGTTTAATTAGGTTCGCTAATTTCGAAAAGTGCGCAAATTCGGTACCCCCCGAAACTGCATATACGCTCTTGGGACGGTGGGAGCTGCTGAAAATGTACTCACATGGGGCTGGAAAGGTCAAGTTGATCTATTTCTTGGGTCCCAGCACCTCTTTTTTTTACAGTACAGGTCCTAACGGTCAAGTTGAACTTCAGATGAGTTGGTCTTTTTTTTCCAACTCCCCTGACGACATAATTCACCCGTAGTCGACTGTACTTATGATTATGCTGGGGGTTGGTCCTGACATTGCACCATCACTTGACCTGTCTTCATCACAGTATTCCTAAATCAATATGTTAGAGATGACACTAGTCCAAAATCATCTGCATCATTACCAACATTTTCATCCCCATCCGAATCCCATGCAATCACGAAAATACGGGGTGATAACATTGTTGCCATTCATTGTGGTAACTCTTGGGCGACGCTTCTTTTCACAGTGTCAAACTCAAATAAAAATACAAGAAAAATTCAGCATTAAAAAAAGCAAGGTGGGGCTGGATTAACAAAAACCACAACTGTTAATTTTCTTTTGCACATATATATATGTAAAACTTTTGTCCAAAGAATAGTTTGTGTCCTAATACTAATACTAAAAGAAAAGTATTGTATTTGTTTATCACGGCTGAGTGCGTTTGCAGGTGGTAGCAGTAAGAAGACTGTCCCGGTTTTATAAGACTTAAGATTGCTGCACAAGCTGTCATTGGACATGTTTCTTCATGGTTTGGTGCAGACCAAGCTTTTGATTGGATTTGTTCATACTTAACATGAGCTTAGGTAAAGCAAGTTTTTTAATTTTGATTGGATTTGTTCATACATGGCATGAGCTAAGGTAAATCAAGCCTTTGATTGGAAGTGCTCGTTCATGATCCACAGTAAACCCAGTTTTCTGTCAGATACAGTCAGGCACAGATAAGATGAACACGTAAGCTTGAAATCACAGATAGCTCATGACATACAATTTGCCATTCCCCAACTGTTATCTCTTTAATTTTTTTGGTTTGTTTGTTATCATTATCCGTCAACCGAAGTTATGGATGGATGTGTGGAACACGTCTGTCAATCGTAATGTGTTTGAGTTTTCTGTGTCCGACTGTTGGGATCTAAAGTGGGTCAGGCTTTTTATTTTTTTTACGAATTGCATTCTTTCATGATCAAGAGTAGATAGCTGTTTCGTATGTGAAATGTTTTCCACTGTGTCAGCGAAAACAAAAGCCAAGACCTTGTTCTAGTAGTAGGGGTGTATTTTGTTACATTGTTTGCTTGATGTTCAGGACACTCCTAGACAGGATGTTATGTGTTTGCGTGGATGACAATTTTGTTGTTGTTGCCTATATAATATATATATATATGTTTCCCTTTCTGTGAATGATTTTATCCCCCATTGACTGTGGTGTCAATGATAAAAATAAATTATGGACAATTTGAAATGATGGTTGTTTATTTATTGTTACTATTAAGCACTGTGACATTTCATTACCTTAGAATTACAGATTTTTTGGGGGACGTTTTTGGCCGTTTCAAGTTACTAAGATGATGAGGTTCGAAACCAAATGTCCTGTCTGCCCTATCAAAATAGTACGATTATTCGGAGTCATTATCAAGATATTCAAAGAATTGGATTTTAAAAAACGTGACATGTTGTGAAACTCAAAATTTTCAACTTCAAATTTCTCAAAACTAGGTACTAAGCAGATAGAACTTTGTAATTCTAGGGTAGCGATTCAGCATGTAGATGGAGACTCAGACTGACATGCAATATATTCCATGCGAGTGGTTGTTGTGGGATACAAGTACAAGCTCAGTCCGTGTAGCACAAAGGTGAAAGAGAAGTCTTTTTCTGTAAAGACAAAGAGGGTTACCAACTCTTGAACCCATTACCACCTAAGGAGCTGTCCTGATGATACAGTCGTCTCCGCTGTTTTAGTTTTAAGAAATCAGAATTTTTACTACCCGAAAATCATCCCTGAGATCCCGCTCTGAAAGGCTTTTTTTCAGCTAAGATTATTTTATGATTTATTGAACTAAAACGCGGGTGACTCAGCTGATCAACGAAGCAGGGAAATTTTGTGATCTTTGTACAGCCCGTCGGGTTACAGATCGTTCACTTTGTGAATGTGATCATATAGGCTCCGTTGTAAATCTCGGTGAATGGGAACAATGTTTGCCCCAGACAGGGTCATGTGGAGGTGTGAACTCGTTGACACGTTGGTTTGCCTCAAACTCAAACATTGCATTCACATTTGAGCCTACTGCAAGCAGGTAAATATAATAAAGGCAGAAAAACCTTTGTTCTCATTCTAAAGTCCTTGGCCTACGGCCTGAACTTGCATCACATGCTTGGTTGTAACGGCCAACACAAGGACACATCAGACGGGATAAAATCGAACTGTGAACTCGTGGGTACTTGTGTTTCCCTGACCATTGCACCTGTCTTTCAGCTCTACACCCAAATTTAGTAGACAGACTGGTGGGCATCTCTCGTTGTCTAGAGGTTAAGGTGTTTACCTCTCATTCAATAGGTCCCGGGTTCGAAACCTGGCAGCGACAGAAAATTTTCTCCTTCACCTCCTTTCCTGCTCTCTAACCATGTTCTATCATCTGCTTTCGTCTCCAATTTCTGCCCCCTTCTCTGGGCTCCCGACTCTTTGTGCAGCCTTTCTTCTATTGCTCCTCCTTGGCTCTTTCTTACTGCTGTCTTTCAGCCACATCTCTGGTCTTATGGTAAGTCAGATCTACACCTAGCCTTCGTGGATAAGGATGAAAAATCTCAAGAGGTCCCGTGTGCGTGTTGTGCACGTTAAAGTTCCCTTGGTGGTCCAAAATCGATGAGAGTAGGCCTGTACAAAATTATGCAGAATACAACCGATGACGAAGGCCGTTCATCATCATGGTCCTCACCCTTCGCAAGGCATGAAGAACATCGTACATCACAGCAGCATCTCAGCTCCTTCACTGAACTCTTATAAGAAAAAATTATGAATGACCGTACGTCATATAGGTCACGAAAGGGTTAAACCAAACATGGTTACCACTAATCCAAAAACAACGGTAAACCGAAAGAAAATGGAATCTCCTTTTTCTTCCTGTGCTATTAGTAGTAGTAGTAGTAGTATTTAAGCACTCTCTGAACCGAAAACATGACTAAACTGAAGAAAATTCAGCAGTCCCCCAGTTTTTGGTTCTAGCAGACTCTCATACATTTCCACAAAATGACAAGAGGTTGAGAATGAGATACAAAAGAAGGAAATATATATTTTATGTTTCTACCTATGTACATTGATTAACAAATAAGGGCTCTCTCTCTCTTTCTCTCTCTCTCTCTCTCTCTCTCTCTCTCTCTCTCTCTCTCTCTCTCTCTCTCTCTCTCACACACACACACACACATTCACACACTCAAATCAGAGTTACACTGGGGTACAACTTCTCCAGTCGTGATGGAGCCTTGCAGGTCACACACACAGGAAAGTAATGAGGGACAAGCAAAAAAAAAGGTAACCTAATTTTAGTTTCAGAAAGAGTTTTTTGGCACTTGCAACACTATTATGTCATCTCTCCCCTTTCTTTTCTTTGTATGTTACTCTCTTGAAACACCTCTAATCTTCAGTCCTGATTAATGATGTAAAGGGCCATAAAACGCTTACTAAAACTAAAAACTAAACAAAGCTTTTTACTTTTAGGATGTTTCCTATGAAATACGGTTTGATCTAGTACAAACTGAGAATTGTGCTTCCTGCAAGTTTATTTCAGGCAGACCTGGTCAAAAATTTAGTTGTATCAGAAAAAAATATGTTTACATTTCTTTCAAAAATACTGAAAGAATTTCATAAAATTTTAAAGTCTGAATATTTTTTATTACCGGTCAATTTTTTTGCAATACATTGTATTTCACCAAAGGTTAAAAATGTGCTAGAAATTGGGTTTTTCTCCATACTTTATTTTTAAACTCTATGTTGCAAAATGTGGCATTTCTTAAAAATTGCTTAAGATATTTAAAAAATTAAAAAATCAGCATTGAATGTGCCACAAGAACGTGCCTTTATTTAAATATATCGGTATCCAAATTTTCTGACAACTGGGACCTTTCTACAGGCACACACACGCAAATTGTACAATTACACGCAAACTATCACAGCAGAGTGTCTGGCAATGGACTGACATGAGGAGAGAGAACAGCCAGCAAGCCTTCTCTCCAGCCTCTGTTCCCATCCCCCTCCCTCACCCACAATGACCACCCCAGCATTCCTGCATCTTCTGTCTTCACAAGTCTGTCTGTTAGTTAGAATGTTGAGATACAATGGGGGTTAATTGGCTAAGGAAAAAATCTTTTGGTTTATTTTAACTAGCTCAATACACAATTTGTATTATAATATATACAGTGGGCCCCATCTATAACAGTCATGGTTATAACAGGATTCTGGCTATAGCAAGCTTATAAGAAATCCCCAAGCCCAGTCTCTTAGATAACGTAAAGTAAAAAAGTTCTTTTAAAGCAGGCATTCAGGCGGACATTCTCGGCAATAACAGCGATCCAACCATTAAAAAATCCCATTGAAAACAAATGAACAAGACAGAAGAAAAAAGCAGATGAAGCAACAAAGCAACATTCAACATAGTGAACTGCACCAGCGTGACCCACAGTAAGCCTCAACAGCTGATTGTGTGCGCATTGCATGATGTGTAATGTCATCATGTTTGCGGAGGATGGAGGGGGGAAAGCTGAATGCACTTTGGTGTTGATGCAAATCCAGCCAGTATCAAAGTTGGTTCCTTTTTCCTAGCTGTGGTAACAATAATATGATATGCAACTGTATCACTGTTACCTCTGTGCATCTTGAAATTATGTCTACATTTAAATTATATATGCAATTATTATTGTTACCTGTGCATCTTAAATTATGATGTCTAGTCAACCTCCAAGAGACTAAAAATTAAAGATAGTGGTACAAAATTACTAGAAAAGGGAAGATGAAGATGGGGAGACAAAACATATCACTAGAAAAAAAAAGCAATAACTGATAAACTGGAAGTAGGCAGTCTCTAAGTTTGTATGTTATAAAAAGTAATCCCATTCGTGAATTACTGGTTACAGCATATAATATGTAAATGTGGCCCACATCTATATATTATAACATGATTTGGCCATCATGTTGACTGCAGCAGTCCTGTTATAGCTGGGGGGGGGGGGCATTGTACATCTATGTATGAAAGTGCTCAGAGAAATGAACAGGGCAAAAACTGCAACAAACATTGCCAGACAATATGGTTGTAGTCACTTTCATTCATATTTAAATGATGCTCTTTACTTTTGTCAACTGGCCTGTGAGTTCTCTCTTTCATGTAGAGTGTTGTCTACAAGAAATTACTTTCTTTTCCTTGTGTGTGTACGAGGGTGGCTTGGGAGGGAGGGGTGGGGGTCACTAAAAGGATACAAGCAAAATCCACACATCTTTAAGGCATTCAAATCATTATTGTCATTCGGACTTCATTTATTGCTAAACACAACAGGAAACAATTTGGACCAAAGTGATCAGTGATAGCTCAAGCTAAGCGAAAATTCATTCCATCCAAGTTCATAGTGAGTGGACTCCCGTGTAGTAGTTAGCCACAGTGTTGGCCTTTGGTTTTGTACCCCGCTGCCTCGTGTAGATCCTCCGGATACCAGGACGACATTATGTGAACATGTGTTTATCATTCTCAAGGGTGGCAACTTTGCCCCTAGTTAGTTGTAGGGAAACAGTCGTGTGGGGATCGGCCAAACCATATCTGGGGATGAAAGTAAAAAGCAGAGTACATATATAAGATACAATAAGATACATCTTTATATTGTTCAGATCCTGGCACATTGCTTTAGTGTTTCACCACATACACACGCACACATACACACAAACATGCACACACACACACAAACATGCACACACACACACACACACACACACACTACATACGTGCACACCCACCAATAAACACACACACTTTCTCCTCACACATCCTCTCCTCCACACACATCTGTGTACATAACCATAAGTGAGGCATCGCGGTGAAATCAGGCACTCGTCAAAATAATGAAATCTGAGAAATCTGCCTTTTTTAGCCAGTTTGGACATTTTTTTCGAATTTTTGTTTTTTGGTTAAACACGTATGTTCATTCAAAAACACTTTTAAGTGTGGATTTTTGTGGAAAATGTTAATTTAAGGCACCAAAAAATTAAACTTTCAGTTTACAAAGACTCTTAAGCTTATGAAAGTCCCCAAACTATGGTGGCCATTTCCTCGTTTACTTCTGAAACCAGGCAACCCCATTTGCATGCAACACTGAAGTACCCAATCGCTACACAATAAATGTCAGATGAGCAACTCTGACTCAACAAAGTCGCTAGCAGGGTGGACAGTCCCAGCTGACATGGCTTCGCTCATTTTTCTACCACAATAGCCTTCTTTCATACCAACACATGCACTGTTAGCATACAGAACACATCTTTACATGTGTCAGGGTCGGACGGGTGGCCAAGACATGCGTTACTGTTTGTGCATGTGTCTCGGGGAGAGGGCACAAGCGATCCAGACGTGAAACATTAGTAGAGATACAAAAGCGTCACAGTTACTTTTTTCCCCCTGGCTACTGATCACTATTACAATGATAAGCCAGTCTTGACACAGATCTACCTAATGAATTGCGTGCTGCACTGTGGAATCAAACTTTCTCACATGCTAGGCTCTGCACAGAAACATGACTTGCTCAGCAAACAGTATGTTAGAGATGATACACGCAGGGGCCACAAGAGTGCATTTGAACATTTGCACAGTGCATGCTTGGTAGACGTCAGTGTATTTTCCTGGAATTTTTCATCATTTCTTGGGTATGGCATAAAAAAACCGAAAATGCCTTTCATTTAAAATCAAACTACTTTCGACTGAGAAAGTCAAGTACATTACATATTACTTACGCGGTGCTTGTAATTATCTACACAAAAACCTCATGTTTGCTATAACGAACACTTGGATTCCAACAAAATTGAAAGTCAAGCCCGATGACTTAGTTGAATCCGAGTTCCACGGTACAATGTAAAGAAAGAGAGGACAAGTGGAGATCTTTCTTCAGAAGATTTTTTCCTCCCAATTTACCAAACTCATACACAGACAAAGCTAATCTTCTAATCTACACGAATGTGGTTTGTTAAAACGGAAAAAATAAAGTTGGTTGAGCCTGGATGAGTGCGTCCATTTTTATTTTTTTCCCCTCACATGCTGTTGGTGGGTGTTGTTCATATTTTCCTTTTTTTTATATTGTAGCTACTAGCATTTTGGTTTTTTTCCTTTCCTGATTCAATCCACTCTACACACACACACACACACACACACACACACACACATACACACACACAAACACAGACACACACATAAGAACACACACACACACACACATACACACATGAGAACACACACTCACACACAATCACACACAAAAACAGAGAGATCAATAGAGAGAAACACACACACACAAACACAGAAAGATAGAGAGAGAGAGAGAGAGAGAGAGAGAGAGAGAGAGAGAGAGAGAGAGAGAGAGAGAGAGAGAGAGAGAGAGAGAGAGACACACACACACACATGTACTCATGTACACACAAACACACAGAGGGAGAGAGAGAGAGAGCGAGAGAAAGAGAGAGAGAGAGCGAGAGAAAAAAAGAGCAAAAGAGAGAGAGAGAGAGAGAGAGTGATAGAGAGAGAGAGAGAACGATGGAGCAAACGGTAGAGGGAAGAGTGAAGGAATGAGGCCACGAACTTACCACTCTCTAGGCTTGTGTCAAACGGCCTCTGGTACAGAGTGAGGAACTCACTAGGTGTACTCATGGAGCTGTCATTCTCCTCCAGCAGATAGTGAACCACCGCTGGGGGAAAAGGGCAAAGGGCAAAGGTCACATGAAAAGAAACAACAACAATTATAATAATAATAATAGTAATAAATAGATAGCATTTGTATAGCCCAAATTCCCACTAAACAGCAAGCTCCTTGTGCTTTACAATCTATATAATTACCACAGCAGACCTGATAGTATTCTGAAACAATCTCAACTTCCTGGGAAACATGCAGTGCAAGCTGCCATTTTATAGGCGCTAAAACACTAACATACTGACAACATCTTTCGCTGTCACCAATTTCCCTGGGTGACGTGAGGAAAATTCGTATAAAGTGCCTTTCCCAAGGACATAACATCAGGCCTGAGTCTCAAACCCCCGAACTCGCAACCTCCCGATTAGGAGTCTGGTAGCCTAACCACCCACTAGACATATATATATACATCACTTGCTTTTATTTCCAAAGGAATATCTAGGTGAAACACATAGTACAAGGTAGCATGCCAGGTGTATAATGTAGACTACTTAACAAAAAAATAAAACAATTTATTTCATAAATTAAAGGGGTGTATCGCTTGCAAGTCATTAAATGTTCTGCCAGAAAGGAAAATTTTTCAGGACAGAGAGAAAAAACTGGTTCATTCTTCTTTCAATCGTACTTATCTTATATGATCTATCTTTGTTAGGCCTAGCTTTTTCCAACATTTAGAATTACAAATTTGAGAAAATATTTTTTGAGCACATGTGACTGATAACACAAAGGAATTAAGAAATTAATTTTTTAAATTTCAAAATTTTGATTTTATATTTTAACAGCTGGTTGACGATATTATGAATCACATTACGGGGCAAAACATTAAAATTACACAACTTTGTACAACCCTCGCATGTATTACCCAAAAAAATTAAACAAAAAGGAATACAGGTCAGAGCACGATACATTTTTAAAGCCAAGATTAAGATTATTAATCTGTTGTTTTTTTCGAAGATGCATTTCAAGGACCAACACAGCTTATAAATTGTAAACACTAGGTGGTATCCTCTTTCCAAACTTAAATGAAAAGCAAAATATGGGGTTACTGGGACAAAGAAAAATAAATCACTTCAAAGTGAATTGCTCAGTCTTTCCTGTAGGTCCTAATGTATTCTACAGCAACCAGTCGCCGATTCTGCTTCAGATCTGGCCCTTTATCTCGATGATGACAGACCACTGGTCTATAGTAAAAATTAGCACACACTGAAACAATGGTGAATCACTTCAGGAGCAAATGACTCGCATACTGATGAAAAAACCCCAGTGTCATAGACTCTTTGATGTTGAGTAAGTAAGTCAATATTAAAATAATGACCTCACTGAATCCACACAGCTATAGTTCATTTGCTCTAGAGATTTGCACATCCAAGACCGGTGTGAAAATGTAATAGCAGATGGTTGGCAGGTGCTTTGGTGGGGTTTACTCCTTCGTAAGTTCTTTCCTTTCAAACATCTATCATCCTTTATCTCTCCTTCTTTTTTGTGTCTGTTAGTCTCTTTTAATACCTCTAATCATCTTCAGCACTTATGTATGACCGTGTTAATGTTATGTCACAAGTGCTGCTAAACTCTTACTAGCACGAGAAGAAAATGTGTCGCGACGCGGTGGATTCAGGCGCTAGTCATTTTTTGGGCATGTGGAGTTATTGGTATCATTTGATAGCTTATTTATTTGCCTTGCTTTCAATGAAACAAAAATACTCATCTATCGTGAATAGAAGTCGGGATATTTGCGATTGATGGAGGAAAGGTTGCCTGGTTTCAGTGGCAAAATTAGCGAGAAAATAGCAGCCAAAGTTTGGTAACTTCAATAGCTTAAGAGAGTCCTTGAAAACTGAAAAATAATATATTTTGTGCCTTTAATCAACGCTTTTCAACAAAATTCACATGGAATTGTGCTTTCATATGGACGTAAAAGGTATTGAGCGAAAAAACAAAAATTCTATAAAAACTGCCAAACTGATGGAAAAATGCCTTTTTCTACAATTTCATTATTTTGACGAGCGCCTGACTCCACATCGTCGTGACACAAATACAGCGAGTACAGGCTTCAACTTACATTGCTGGGGGAGCAGATCAGGGACTTTCTCGTGGAGGGCATCCATGGCATTTTTCAGGTTCAGCTGAGGAAATTGAAAATAAAATCCACTGATGTTTTTAGTTCTTGTAAGAGTTTTAAGGCACTTGCAATGCAATAAGGTCATGTAAGTGCCGATGAATAGATGTGTTACAAGGGAGTAACAAACACAAAAAAGGAGGAGGGAAGATAGACACGATAGATTTTTTTTATAGGAAAGAAGAAGCAAACCACACCAGAGCACCCGCCAAACACTCACCGTTTTTCCTTTTTCGTAAGAGTTTTACGGCACTTGCAACACAATAAGGTCATATAAGTGCCGATGAATAGATGTGTTACAAGAGAGTAACATACACAAAAAAGTAGGAGGAGAGATAAGGTTGATTGCTTACATTCATATATATATAGAATCTATATATATGATTATAATAATGCTTGCATTCGGCATATCTCGGGTAAAAATCATAAATATAATCTTCTGGGTACAGACCTTTGTCTGGTCCAGCAGGAGAAGAACACATGCTGTAGTGGTGCTGCATGGCCATGTGGTAGTCATTAAGCAAATGGTTGCTTTTAAGGACAATCGGGCTAACCCAGATTTCGGGGGTTTCCAGAAATCTTGACCTACACCAAAAGTGGGAATTGCCCTACCTATAGGACAAGTTTGGTTTCATTGGTGTGTATATTTGTTTGGTTATAGAGAAAACTCTCCTTGTCTTTTAAAGAAACTGGGCAAGGGGCAAAAACTTTACCTTCAATTTTCTCAAAACAGCATTTTTCGGGAAAGCCCCCTTGTGCTTAACACTTTTCCGCCTCATCTCGCCGATCGGCTATGTTTACCTCCCAATTTCTTTGGATTTTCCCCAAAATGTGATGGCAAAGTGTTAAAAGTGACCAAATACTGTCGAAGTTGTGTAAGACGGCCACCCATTGTCCATGGGAAAAAAGGCCATCTTAGACAGGTGGAAGTCTCACACAGTGTCTTTATAATGTAAAAAATATGCAAGGGAAAAAATGGGAAGTGACCGCTTGTAGAGGTGATGGTCTTATACAGGTGGCTGTTAGAGCAGATTCTACGTACTTTGAAACTGACATGCTTCACAGCAGACCAAGGCTAAGAATATTTTGGCAGCATGAAGGACTGTCTGCTGTTTTTTAATGTTTTATGTTTTATTTATTTATTTATTTTTTTCAACATTAAAATTTGAATTTTGAGAAAATATTTCTCAAGCACATGTAATCGATTCCACAGATTAATTTGAAACTGCAATAATTTTATTTTTTTTCCTTATTTTCAGGCTTGGATCATCTGAACAGCTTGCCGATGATAATTAATATATTTCACAAAGTCATGTGTGTCCCACACACACATAAACTACACACACACACACACATCCACACACACACACACACCCACACACACACCCACACAGCCCAAATAAGGTTAGTTAGTTTTAGTAGAGGTTTTACGGCGCTCGCAACTGCATAAGGTCATATGAGCGCAAGAAGTTTAGAGGCGTTACAAGAGAGTAACAAAAATAAAAAAAGAGGAATGGGCAGATAAGGACGATAGATGTTTGATAGGAAAGAAGGAGCAAACCACACCAGAGCACCCGCCAACCACCCACCCCCAAATAAGGTCACCCGTATAACATATATACGTTTACATATAAACACATAAATATTAGTATAGATATACATGTAAGTAAAATATACATGCCAATTCATTTACTTTTTTATCTATCTAAGCTCTTGACAGTCAGGTAGCCCCCTGCATTAGCTGCGGACTGACCTTGGGCTGTTTCATCAAGAAGACAGCTAGCTTGAGCAGTTGTGTGAGAAGGTCCACTATCAGGTTCTCAAACGTCTCGTTGGTGTCGAAGGCCTCAATGCCATGCTCCACAATGTCGAGCGTGCGTGATGACCACTGCTGGTACAGCCGCGTGTGAATGTGAGCACCGGTCAAGGAAGAGACGTCACGGGAAAAAGTAAATCAGCTGATTTTGAGTTGCACAATTTTTTTTTTCACTCACCTAACTTTGGTTGATTTTGTGTTAATTCACACGCTGAGTTTCAGTGATATGTGCAATTCAACCCCAATCCCCCCCATCCCCTAACCTTTTTCACAGTGTCCTCACCCATCTTTGGACAATACTCTCTGAATGAGAGTCTTATAACTTTTAGTTTAGATTTAATAAGAGTTTTACAGCACTTGCAACACAACGAGGTCATATAAGTGCCAAAGATTAGAGGAGTAATTACTAGAGAATAACATACAAATAAAAGAAGGAGAAGAGATTAAAAGGACAATAGATGTTTGATAGGAATAAAAGAGCAAACCACACAAGAGCACCCGCCAACCACCCAGAATGCGAGTCCAAGACGTCCACACTTATAAAAGTCATGATGTGCACAAAGCGTCAGCAGGTCATAATATGGAAGTGTACAGTACAAATACTGACTTAGAGCGTTGTGCAACTCTATTGGCATATCAAAGTTGGAATCACAAAGTTCTATCTAACATTTTAGGCCATTTTCAGCTACTGAGACCATGAGGTCAGAAACCAAATATTTTACCTACTCAATGAAAATGGTAAGATAGTTAGGAGTTGTTATCAAGATATTCAAAGAATTGGAATTTACAAAAGCGTGATGCGTTGTGAAACTAAACATTTTTCATGTAAAATCCCTCAAAACTAGGTACAGAGAAGAAAGAACTTTGTCATTCTAGGGTAATGATATGTGTCAATACGTGGTGGAATCAGGCACTCGTCAATATTTTGGCAACTGGAGTTACTGGTACCATCTTAAAGCTTTTTTGTTTTCCTAGCTTTTGATGAAGGAAGTATCCATCTATCTTGAATAGGAGTCGAGACATTTTCAATAGCAGGAGGTAGGGTCACCTGGTTTAACGTTTGAGATGTAACGTTAGTGAAAAAATGGCCGGCAAAGTTAGAAGACTTTCATGGTTTGAGAGTCCTTGGAAACTAAAAGTTTTCATTTTTTGAGCCTTTAATCAACGTTTTTCTGTAAAATCCACACAGAAATGATTTTTTTTGGGGGGGAGGGGGGGGAGGGGGTTTGTAAGTGTTTTACGGCCCTTGCAACTGCATTAAGTCATATGAGCATGCGGGACACATTCAACATCTTCAGTTTGGTAGGAATTTTGAATTTTGCCCTGGTGGAGGCTGAAACCTACCAAGGAATCTTTTACATGGGCAACTTGCACACGGGACCTCAGAGATTTTTCGCCCTTATCCGAGAAAGCTAGGTGTTAGTGTTAGACTTTTGCTACCATAAGATCAGGGGTGTAGCTGAAAGACAGTAGTATGAAGAAGCCACGGAATAGCAGTAAAAAGGCTGCAGAAAGAGTTCGGAGCCCACAGGAGAGGGCAAAGAGTGGGATGGAGAGGGGGGGGGGGAAGGGAGCAGAAAGTGGATATGAAAGCAGATGACAGAACATGCTTAGAGAGCAGGAAAGGAGATGAAAGGAGACAATTTTAGAGAAGGAAATTTTCCGTCGCTGTCAGGATGCGAATTCCCGACTTATTGAACGAGAGGCAAACATCATAAACTCTAGACCACAAGAGCCCCTGAAATGTATTTTTAAATTGACTTACAAGGTGTTGAGCGAAAAAACAAAAACATTTTTTTTTAAATTGCCAAACCGGAGGAAGAATGTCGTTTTCTTAGATTTCATTATTTTGATGAGCGCCTGATTTTACCATGCTGCCTCACATATTTTGAATAAGCTGTATAACGGCCTGCTACAGGGGGTTACACCAAAGGTCCAAGAGCACAGTCTCGGACATTTGAGAAAGGTCCAGTATCAGCGTTTTATAATGACCTGAGGATATGTGACGACTTTGAAAGGAAGAATTAATACAACTTTGATGGTACGCTGTACTAATATAACCATAAATCTAAACACAAACTTTGCAGAGTTAATAATGTACATTTGTGGTAAAACTGAAAGAAAATAGAATCTCTTATATTTTTCCTACGCTATTTGAACAGTCTCTCTAAACTGAAAGCAGGCTACACCAAATAAAATCTAGCGGTCCCGCAGATTCTAGTTTAAGCGGACTCCACTATATCTGCTTTATCATTCCCTCGACACAAGCGTCCTCTGTTGGAAAGGATATATCGTGAGAGATGATCAGGATCTTGGACTTGGCGACACACGACGTCTCCTCCTGTTCCATGTTGTGCAGATCCTCCACAATCTTCACGATCATATCCGAGGACGTCTGAAACAGTGGGACAAACATATAAGGGGTGAGCATTCAACCCGGCTCATCTGCCGCAGGTATGTGTGTGTGTGTGTGTGTGTGTGTGTGTGTGTGTGTGTGTGTGTGAGTGTGTGTGTGTGTGTGTATAGATAGA